GATATTTAGGACACAATGTGTAAATGTGCATATTACCAGGAAATTCCGATTCCGTTATTTTTCTGGGAATTTCGACACTTTTCATCTTGGATTTTTGGCCTTATCTTGAGTATAGAGATGAAAATTTTGTCAGCACAACTCCTCTTAAACCGCTGCACAGAATTTGGTCAAACTTTGCAGATATTTAGTACACAGTGTGTAGATGTGCATATTACCAGGAAATTTCGATTCCATTATTTTTGCCTTAAGAGTTTTGCCTATTATTGAAGAAACTTTCCAGCGAGGTAATAAGGAAATCCACTGGAATCAGCTTTTGTAATGAAATTTTATGTGAAATATTTTATGACCTTAAAAGACCCCTATTGATTTTGAGATCAAAATATTACTGATTTAACACACACACAATCTTGGATAGTTCTCACCCCACCCCCACCCACCTCCTCAAAATGGTGCTTTGCCTTAAATAATTTAAGTACAGTATATAAACAAATTCCTATGACTACATCATAATTTTGTTTCCGTCAATTATTTAAATGTGTAAATTGTCATGTGTTGGACATGGACTTACATTCATTAACAAATCGAAATCGCTGAGGAATTTAAATAACAGTTTGTCAGCATAACTCCTGCACTGAATTTCCTGAAACTTTGTAGGTATTTCAGACATAATGTATAGATTCGTATATTACCAAGAAATTTTGATTCTATTACATGTATTTATCTAGAAACTTCAGCCCAATTAAATTTGTAACATACAAAGATTTGAATGTCCTTATATGCAAGAAGTTTTGATGAGATGATTTTTTTCAAGTAATGCCCCTTTTTGAATTATACCGTGTATTTAAAATGCACTGTGCCATTCATTACGTGTTGCATTGTCGAGTTTTGGGGGAGCGTGGGGTATGTGAGCTTGCTCACTTTTTCTTTCATTTTAGTTTAAAATCATAATATCATTACATGTACTTAGGCAAAAAAATCAGCATACATTTCGAAGACTTTTGAAAAGATATCAGATGATGAAAACCATTGCATTTTTAAAAGAAAAATTAAGGGAAAAAGGTGTACAACATTACCAGACATTATAACATTGCGCAAAGGTTTTTCAATTATATTGTAACTATTAAATTATTCTGGGAATATGAAAATAGAGTTCAAAACTACGTTGTGTATGTCCTTAAGATGACATATGTGTTGTGTCTTACTTTTTATTCAACATTTCTAGAGTTTCGACGGCAATATTTTTTTGTTTTTCAGGAAACCACAAGCGACCAAAAAGATGCAACTTTTACTGTTGCTGAAAAATCTGACCCACATTTTAAAGGGGTGGAGCATAAAGATGACAACGACACCACGGTTAACAACAAAACAACAAAGAAGAAGGCTAAAGTTCAAACGAAAGCAATAGAACAAAATGGGGTAAGATCATCACAAATTTATCGATTAACAGAAACTTGTTGTGGTGATATTGATTATCTGGACCGGGGGCGGAAGGAATATTTCTGGGCTTAGGGTAAAGTACTTGTAACAGTCACGTGATTGAACAAAAAAAAAACTTAAATTGCTCTCTCAGATTAACAGATTAAAGGAAATGTTTTTATGCCCTGCCATGAAGATATATTTATCAAACCTTACATGCAGATACATATTGGTAATAGCTATTCAAATGCATCAGTATTTTTGGACTTTGACCTACTGTAAGACCTTGACCTTAATATTCTTAAATATGTGTTAGTTCAATTTCAAATAAACTATTCAAGATATTTTTAACTAAACACATATACTGATACATATTGGTGAGAACTTATCAACTGTATCCAAATAATTTTTAACTTAACCTTCCCTAGGACCTTTGACTGTACTATTTGTTGTGTTTAAAACTTAGTTTCAAAGAAACTTTTCAAGATATTTTCATCAAACTTTAAATAAACACACTAATAGAAAGCTATCAACTGTGTCAAAATCATAATTTTCTGATCTTAACCTTCCCTGTGACCTTGACCTCACTATTCCTCATTTACATAAACTTGAAAAATAAGCAAAGTACATTTCTTTTCATTTTGCATTACTTATGAACCCTGGACAGGGCATTTATGTCTTATGGACATATTTTCAGTGTTCTATAGATATGAGTGCAGAGGTTGAAATTTTCCTGGAAAACCCACTAGCCCAGGGACTACTGATCAGTAAAAAATTACAAGCCCAAACCTCAAACTAACTAGCCCCAAATTTTTTTTTATGCAAAATGAAAATATAACAAGTCAAATTAAAGTTTCAAATGTTGTGGTGACAGAAACAAATTAAACTACAATGTAGTTCTTATTCAAAAGAAACCAGTCTACATAGATTAGCAAAAGTAAACTGACGAGAATTTTTTTCCGTTCTGCTAGTCCGACGGCCTATCATTCATTTAAATTAGCTAGCCCGAGTCTTAAAATGACTAGCCCCGGGCGTCGGGCTACCGTATATTTCAACCCCTGTAAGTGTAATAAATAACACTTCTACTAATTTTAATGCAAATTAACGGTTAGTTAATATTTAGGAAAATTCTACTGGCGATAAAGAATCAGTTTGGAATATTGATACAGAAGAAGCAAACGTTACAAAAGATGGAGGAAATTCGGGTGAAACAAATACAGGAATGAAAGTTAAAGATAGAAAGAAAGGGATCAAGAAATTAGAGGTAAAGTTGAACTCTTTTATCAAGTTCATAAGAAAAAAGATCATTTTCATAGATAACCTGAACAGGACTTTGTAAAACTCAAATTGAATAAGTGTATGATTATTTTCATTTTAACCAAGAATTTAAATTAACCAAAGTTAACCTAAGTTTTACAGTTAAGTTTCATAGTTTTTACCACTGTTGTTTTCAGGAAAGTGTAACATGCAACTTTTTGTTTTAAAGGGAGGGAGTAAAACAAAGAAGATAGAAGAAGATTTGCAGGCGGTTAGATCACAGATATCTCAATGGTGGGAGAAATGTTACTTTGGAGCAAAACAAAGAAAACTGTTTCTTCCTTACTTTGACGGTACATATGTACTTATGTATTCTAATTCAGATACTGGTAAATGATACATGGATATATATAACCATTATAGGTTTTATACTGTTGAATATATCTGATTCAGGGTAAGTTCACCTAATTTTTTTCATCATTTTTTTTTTATTTATTGAGCCTGAGTAGCGATCACAATATTTATTAGAGTAATTAAATATTGCAAATCTGAAATGCATAATTAAAATTGATTGCGATATACTCATAATGGTTAAAGATTTTGTCACGATTGTAGAGACTCATGCGCAATGGCAATAAGACACTATGTATGTTTTTTATGTTATCTGTAGAATTTTACATTACTTTGTAGACACATTGACGATGTCGAACCTATCAGCTCACAAGAAAGAGGAGACGAGACTTAGAAAATACTATGAGAAAAATCGTGCTGTGTTTGAAAGTATTTCAATGCATTATTCTGTACGTGTAATAATAACAACGATTTACTCTATTACAAAATGTTAGAATACTTGCTGAAGTGTATTCAAGCAGATGTTTTGGATACTTATCATCTAGCAAAATATTAAGCTCAACTCCAAACTAATACAATAGAAGTTATTTGTGATTAATAATTTAAAGCATATTTATAAAGAAATGCAGTAAAATGTCTGGAAAAATCTAATGAGGGGGAAGCATAATTTTGGCATGATTCAATTATCTTTATGAAAATTAAATATAGAAAAGGGACATAACTCTGTAAAACCATTCAATTTTTTATTTTTAAAGATAGCATTCATGTACCTGGTTTAAACGTTTTGATATCATGTTATAGATCATTTATTCACATAGATTATATTGATATGAAATGAATGTTTTGAAGTAATTGAATTTTATAATTCTTTTTGTCATTTTTGGAAAAATTAACTAAAAATAATGGTCAGTGAATACAGAGTTTAGGAAAAGAAATAAATCTTTGAATTAGGTACTAATATGCAAAAATAATTCAATTTAGTTACAGTAACTTAATACTTTGGACATATTTCTAGTTCTACTATAATTTATATTTAGAATATTGTTGTACCCCCGAAATTCTTTCCATTTTTCAAATTTTGTTAGATTTTTTACCACAACTATTTTGTAAAAGCTATCGTTTATTTTTTCTCTCTCAAAAAATTCTGTTGCAATTAGTTTTTGTGTTAAACAATGAATTTAATAGACTTGATGTTCTCTGATCTGTTCTGTTAGAAAAAAGTTTATAATATGAATGCTTGTCTAACAAAAATTTTATTCCTGGCATCGATTTTGAAAAAGAAACCTCTAAATCGTTTTTTTTTCTCTAAAAGTTTGACAAATACTAATCTGTTCAAAATTTTTCTTCATTTGTAAACTAAACATATTTGTATTCTGATTACAGTCTATAAAAACATTGTTTCAATGAAAATAATTACAGAATAGAAAAACCAAAATTGCCTTTGACTAATGTAAAAGGAAAATATTCGTCCTTGTAACATCTCTTGTTTTGGTAATTTGTCTTTTTAAAGACAGGAGGAGTAGTATAAGTCTCCTTTTAATAATATCATTAGAACAAATAGCTCTCAAATTCATGGATCAGAAGCAAAGTGTCTTTGAGATTGTTTGATGATTTCATTTATGTGTAACATGCACTTTTAACTACTTTAAAATTAAAAAAAAAAACTACTACCTTAATATCCTTTATGAAGTGTACTACATTTAAAATTATACCAAATTTCACTCGAGTTATATTTGCTGATATTTGTAAAATGCATGAAAATGTTTGAAGGATAGATATAATGTTCATTCCTTTAACTATTTAAAATTTATTTTATGAATCTAGGAAGATGATTTAAAGCAAAGGCCATATGACATAGAAAACGATTATCAGGTATATGCATGAACTATACACTTATCATCACGAAAAAGACACAGAGTTCTGCTTGTTCTGATGCACCTAGTTTCTGTCAAGTTAACAATTCCTCCCATTTGTAGATGAAGCTACGTGAGAAAGATAAAGAATTTCTTGATTACCAAGCATTGCAAAGGGAAATCATGAAAGAACTTGAGGTAACTGAAGTCTGACAATACTTTTCAAGACCTGGATTGTTTAATATCTTGTCTTATTTGATAATTTTAGAATATTTCTTGGGGTTTCTTTTCCTAGACCCAGGTTCAAGCCAAGGAACAGAGAATTAAACAAGTGGAAGAGAACATACAAGAGATGAAAGTCCAGCAGAGCAAAATACAGGTTAAGGCTATTTATTTCACAAAATTCAACTTAATATTCAGGATTTTATATTGTTGTATAGAATAAATCCCAGAAAAAATCTTCAAAAAGAAGAGTTAAACAGTTAGAAGATAGCACGTAAAAGCGATTTAGAGTTTAATTGAACAATATGCTGCTGGCAAAGGAGCTGGTGCTCCTAGTTCTGATAATAAATCAAGTGCATCATTTTATTATTTTCACAAACTCTTTCATTTTAAGATAAAATTTTATGACGAGAAAGAAATTTCATAGTGACAAAACTCTTCAAGAGGGAAATATAAAAGACCTGGAGGCTCTGGAATATAAAATATTTATGTACTGATGTGCATATATTCTGTCATAACAAGCCTGAGCAGGGCCTCTTAATTATAACATCACAAAACTGATCTTTTTTGTTCTTTTTCTAGGCTCAAGCTGAACAAAAAATGGAACAGATGAAAAATGAAGTCAAAGAATCAAAGGTATACCAATCTTATATTCAGGTTCATGTCAATAATTAAAACTTAATTTTCACTACTGATAATAGATTCCATTTAATATTCATGGAAATACTTATAATATAAATAGAATGAGTCCTCAAATTTTCCACAGGAACTGTTACTGGAAAAAGATGAGCTTATAACGGCTCTTGGAAAGTTATTGGAAAAATTAAAAACTGTAAGTCTCGTTTAAAGTAGCATTTCGCAAATTCCATATGGTCGTTAAAATAACCTTGTTTGCAAATACAACATAACGTTGGGTCGGATTTTGACTGACATGTTTCATACCTATTATTAGGCATTTTTAATACTAATTTTGAGTATAGGTAACCTTGTTTACATTAATTCCGAAGGTTCACAATGGGTGTGACCGGTCGACAGGAGATGCTTATATACTCCTCTTAAGCACCTGATTTCACCTTTGGTATACCAAGAGGTCCATGTATTAACCTTATTGACGATTTAAGTTGTTTCTAGAATTTATGAGATAAATCACTGTTCGTTATACTTTGCAAGTATATAGTAAATTATAAATCCAACAAATAAAGTAGAGAAGAAAACATTTATTTAAGAAAAATGGGACAGGTCAAGGGTTTGCACTCCAAACTCTCACTTTTGAGATGTACATTTTAAATAAAATCCTAATGATAACTTCATGGTTACAAAACAGTGCAAAGTAGAATCATAAATCATCAGTAGGTAGATTAAAGCTCAAATTATGGAATGCCTCAGCTGCCTTTTTTGAATAACATTCATGTGATTTTTTTTCTTCTCTAGATCCCTAACATAATTTTTCTATTGTTAATTGTAATTTATCATAATAGTAAACTATTGTTTACTATAGTAAATACTTTGACATTCTACGAAATTTTAATTTAAAACTTTTCCCCGAGATTTAGAGACTCAGTATCCCTTTAATTCCTTTCTAATGATTTAAATTTGGGGAATTTTAGGAATAATATGTGAATAAACAAGTAATAATTCCATTTGCATTAAAGAATCGGAGAACTAAAAATATAGCAATTTGAAATTCGTAGAAACAAGACATTGATTTACTGTTATAGAAACTTTGATTTACTTTAGTAAAAGCGTTGATTCTATCATAAAGTTTAGTTAACTATTTGAGACACATTTGATTCTAAGATTATTATCTAGGCTCTTTTTGAATAACCAACAACTTTAAATTCTTGGATAGACATCTTTCAAATCATATCTGGCTTTGTTTTCCTTTCAAAATAGTTATGACAATATTGCAACCCTCGTTATGTTACCACACTTGTTAAAAGAGCCTGACTTGCTTTCAGAAACTCAATTTGAAGCATTTTACCATCTATAAGTTTCAATCACAACATAACAAAGAATCATCATATAATGAAGCATCAGCATTTAATTCAAAGTATCAGCATATAATGAAATAATAAAGCATCAACATTTAATTAAAAGTATCAGCACATTATGAATAAGAACACTTGATGTCATTACATTATCATATATTTACATTCGACGTGTAATTTCCTCATAAAATGTGTGAAAAGCCACGATATGTACAACGCAATAACTCGGATAGAGGTGGCAAAGGTTAAGTTAGGAAGTTTATGTCGACGTCACATACTTTGAATGCCGTAAAAGAGCAACGCCACAACGGAAAAAAATTTACGCTCGCGTATAATATTAACGATTGCACCATCAATTTATCTATACAAGGACGATGTGTAATATGTAAACAGGCATAATTTATTTTTAAAAAAAGATGTTATATCAACTTACCGAGAAATCATCTTGAATATAAGCATTGAATTTAAAATTTTTGAAGTACATTGTGCTATAACACGAAAGGCTATGCAGACAAATTTTATGACGTGCTAGGGCGCGTTATTCAATTTGTCAGCACAGCCGTCCGTATTATGATACAATGTACAAGTACATCAAAAATTTACAATTCAATACTTTAATGAAGACAAAGTAGAAACTTGTGAAAGCAAGTTTAAAGCATGTTATGTCAGTGTATTGGTACATGTATATACTAGTAATGAAATGTAATGTCAGAGTCTCACCATAAAACGAAGATGTAGCAACACGAACTGCCATAATATCTTCATAAACCATAAAAGTATATGTATCAGCAAATAATGTCAAAGCATCAGCATTTACTGAAGGAAGATCCAGAAAATATTGAACGAGTATCATCCAAATATGAATGTTATCCACATAAGGCAAGTTAAGTGAGGCGTTCCATATAGGAAATATTATAAAGCTATTGCTTATGGTGATAACAGGATACTTGAAGTTTTTATTGTTTGGTTCATATTTTAGACTCAAGTTGACCAGAAATCTGAACAAAGGGAAAATGAATTTCAGGAAATGAAGGTAAAGCAGAGTAAAATTTGGATTCACTTTGTTAATTAATGTCAAACACTGTAATTAAATCTTTACAGAATTAATACATACCATTTGTCTGAAATAAGTTCGTGTTTTCAATAGGAACTGTTATGTAAAAAAGATGAAATAATAAAAGGACTTCGAAAATCATTAGAAGAAACCAGAAAGGTAAGATGAAGTGTTAATCCAGTCTTTTGTAAATACAATTTGATATAAAAATTGTATGATCGGTACTCATTTAGAGTATTTATCAATTTCCTTTAATTTATAGACATACCCAAAAGAAGACAGTTTTATCAAAACATCGGAACATCATAGTATATCGGAGGTAAAATACTTGTCATGATTTTTTTCAAAGCAATTCTCTGTTACTCTTTATACTTTTTTGGCTTGCATGGTCACCGATTTTGATGTAGCTTTGCTTCATGTTATTACTAATGACACCAGGAACATATACAAATGTATCAAAAACGTTTGGTTCCAATGTTTTTGATAAAAAGATACAGATGTAAAAATTGAGTTTTTCACCTACTTTGAATCTTTAATAAACTTTGAAAAAAGAAGACTAAGCCAAACTCTATCATTTACACAGAAACCTTGTTGCCACATGCTGAGAAGGAATGATTTGAAACATCCCTCTAAATAAGTGGCACATGTAACTATAGGTACATTTGGCATATGACGCTTCAAATTCACTTATGCTAGGAGTTACCTGACCATTCTTAATCGCCAACAGTAGAGAAACAATGAAAACAAGTGTTCTTATGTCAAAAAATACTGTAAACCAACTTTAATTTGCGTGCGAGAAATATCCGAGAGTTTCGCGACCTACTTGAACTCGCGGATATTAACCGCCGCGAACCAATTATTTTGCTTTGTATTTGTAAAGAATTAAAGATAACGCGAATAATAGTTGGTTTACAGTATAGCAATATTATTCTAGAAATTAACATCATAATTGCCATGGTAACATCGGATAACTTAAAATACATTAATAGTTAATTTTGATTTATATATTACCATCTAACAAAAAGACATAGGGATTCAGAAATACGGATATCTTTATCTTTCAGACCTCCTAACACTGATAGTATAATTTAAGAAAATTTGAGAGTTATCGCTACAGGATAGTTACCATGAAGTCAACATAGCAGTAGGATAACAAATAACAACTAATTTAGAGCCGATATGTGTTTATAATATCTGAAGAAGAAAGTCTGTGATTATATATCATATATAAAATGTAAACAAAGTACAGAGAATGGTTCTCAGATTGTTGATACAGTTTTTTATGAAGCTTTATTTTCCATTTACAATGGCTAACTGATAAAACAAGAGTGATGCGTAATAGTCTTGTTGAATGAATCTTCTCCTTTCAGAATATGCATGAAATAAATGTTCTCCACGAGTTTTGTCAAAAGCAGAAGAAAACAATACGTAATCTTCAACGAGAAATTGAACATCTAAGAAAGGTAGAACAAAGAATTTGTCAATATCTGTACCTATCACATATCACATATCATTACGTGTATTTTTAGAGAGATGGGTGAACAAGGCGCGCAAAATGCCTATATCTTCAAAAATATAAAAATCATATACAATTTGTGAATTTAGTATCTAGAGTAAAACTCATTATTGAACTTTATGAAAGAGATGGGCGAAGAAGGCGTGCAGAAAGCCTATAGCTTCAGATATGTAAAAATCTTATTTAATTCGTGAATTTAGTATTTAGAGTAAAGATCTCATTATTGAAATTTATGAAATAATGATAAACAAAACTTTATTGAGGAAAAAAAAATTTCGGCAAAAGTTATTCTGTTATTAAAAAATTATGTGGTATTCGTGGGGTTCGAGTCATAGCAATAAAAATCCTGAGTACATACCATTTTCCTTGGAGACTTGAGGCATTTAAATCATGTTTGTGATATGACCCTTGACTAAATGGACTTCAAGTATTTCTCGGAAATATGCGAATGTTGTGTCATAAAAGTGTATTTTTAAGGTATAGTGGTCTTTGCTTTATGTTTTTCTTAACCAAAAGATGTACATGGATATTTTTATGAAAACTTTTAGGATAAACTTTCAAAAAAAATGGAGTGAAGACCCACCCATATCGAAAAATTGTATTATAGTATGAGAAAATGGTCCTTTTTGCCCTCTTAAGTATTGGTATGCTAGTTCAAAGGCAAGTAATTTCAATATTTGCGAGATTTTTGCAAATTCTGGAGATTTGACTTCAATGTTAGATGAAATTTCGTTCGCCTTGCTCGCCCATCTTCTTTTTAAATTTGTAGCATTCTTAATTCATTACCGAGGTAAATTGAATTATGTTATATATATTGGGAAATGTTTTTAAAATTCTTCTTAAAAAGAGCAAGGCAATAATTAGTCAAATTAATATGCAAGCTTGTGCAGGTAGTACAGATCAGACCATGGTCATCGGCGGAACCAAATCAAAAATTAACTATGGATAACTAAAGTTTACTGTATTTCATACATTAATACTATAAATACATCAATACTATCCTTATAATTTATTTTTTCTTCCCATGAATGTTAAAAGAAATCCTTTCAAAAATGCCTTCAATTCCTACAAAATTTAAATGTAACGCCAAGCGTATTCATAAGTTTTTGACACAACTAGGCAACATAGATTATACGATATAAACTATTTTTTTCTTAGAATCAAATTGCTCTTTACAACTAGAATTGAATAGGCACTACAATAAACTACTATTAAAACTATTTTTAATTATAGCATATTTTGTTAGTGGAGTTTCCCAGCTGGAATCGTCTTTAAGCATTCCTTAAAGCCATTGTTTTTGTGAAAGGATGTTTTCTAATCTTTTCTTCTTTTAGTATGCTTTATTGAACTACATGATTAGACAAGATAAGCTTAAGCTCTAACTGTTCATCATGGCATGATTAAGTATCTAGATCGTATAAAATCGTAAAAAAATGTCATTTCTAAGTGTTTTGAATTGATAGCAATATGTATTTTAATTCAATTGCAATATTAACTGTATTCTAATTTAAAAAAAACTTTTCAGCCCAAAAAAGAGGGGTGGAGTGCACAGTAATTCATTTCATTGCACTCCGTACTTAGGTAAAGCCAATATACACCCAATAAGGGGTCAATATTAACATTAATATATATGAGAGAAACCTAATAGCCTCAAATTATATGAAGTAGAATTCATAACAGATAAATAGGGGTTGAATACTCAATACAGTTATACATACTTTTCATTTATTTTACTACTATTAGTATGTAAGAATGTGTCCTTATCTATGACTTGGACCTGTCCTTGAAGAGTCATCTCCCTTAGTTTTTAAACAATAAAAATCAATTTTTAAGAAAAATCTATCTGGTAAAATAATATTTATTCTATTCCCCCAATGATTAAGTACATATTTCTACTGCAGCATTTATTGATTTTTTTAGTATTTGATTTTTAATTTTATTTTATAAAAAATTATGTGTCCCCTTAGACTTAACTGCAATCTTTGTTGATAAGTTGCTCCTAAATAATGATATTTTTGAAAATCTCTCTCTCTCTTTCTCGATCATGCCCTTAATATCAAAATATTATCTACGTGATGGATATATGTATATGATTGTGACCTTGAGAAAAGAGTGCTTATGGCATTTTCAATAAAGAACAGAGAAAAAACGTCAATAGAAGTTACGTTTACGACAATTGTCTCTCCCAAAAATTTCAGTGCATTGTTTTCACCACTTGTGCATGTTTCCTGACAGGTTTTTGTTTGTTATTTTACATCCAGAGTAAATACTGTACTCTGGTGAAGTGCCCTGTTTCTTTATTTCCTTTGTTTTTATGACTTCTTAACTTTTTCTTTGTCCTGAGGAAGGGACAGGTCGTCCCGAAAATTTGACAATTATTATTGTTCGTGTCGTTGGTCATTTTTAGTGCTTTATATATATATATATATATATATATATATATATATATATATATATATATATATATATATATATATATATATATATATATATATATATATATATATATATATAACCCTAATCTTTCAAATACACTAAATGTGTAAAAGACACCAAATACCAAATGTACACCTCTTTGGCGCAATCATTTAAGGATCGAGAATTTGATCCTAATAGGGAGGAATTCCATTAATTCCCTCTGAAGAACAACAGGACCACAAAGCATCCACTTGTATATTTTATTCAAGTCATTTTTTTTAAGATTTAGGATTAGTACACAATGCGTTGTGAAATTTAGATACATTTACAGAAATGATCTTCAGCAAGAACATCAAGGCTAAGATTTGTAAGCTTGATATTAAACTTTGATGTAATCTTCTGTAAATTAGTACTTTTATACCCCACCATTAATACTAGTATGGCTGCTACGTATGGTGTTTGCAGTGTTTGCTTCTGTCCTTCCCTCCTCCCATGACATTTTGTGTTTAGCTCACTTTTCAAAAAATAATAATAATAATAATGAATATGTTTTAAACAAAATATATTTGCCAGAGTTATACAACTATTTTTGTTTTTGTTTTTTTTCTTGAATATCCTTATCATGATCACTTTTAATGTTCTTGTACTTTACAATGTACCTTTACCACTGATAACTTTCCGAGATATTTTTGACTTACATGTAAAATCATAATACCATCAGATGTTCCTAGACAAATCGGCATACATTACTACGGTTTTGAACAAATATCAAATGATGAAAATTCTCGTAATTTTTAAAGAAAAATAAAATAAAAAGTTCATTTGGTATTTTCTCATAATCTGATTCAGAAAAGGTGTATAGCATCATCTTGCATCATAAAATCGCACAAAGGTTCCTCAGTTATTGGAACTCTTAAATTATACAGGGAATAAGAAAATAAAGTTCAGAAATATGTTGTGTAAGTCTTTAATGTTAAAAAAAGTTCAAAATGTTTTCAATAAACGTCTTACACTAATATAAGTTGGTGAGAGATCTAGATGTTCAACTGTCACAATTTTCCATCATTGATCTTTCTTATGATATTAATCTCACTATTTCTTGCTTTGCATTTTATCTTAATTTGAAAAAAGCTGTTCAAGATATATTGATGTACTTTAAAATAAATTGAATTTTTTAAATACAAACAAACAACTTAGGCATTTCCTCGGTTGAATACAAGAGTATCTATAAAAG